AATAATTTTATCACGTAAAAATACCATACAATAATTGATTTATTTTATAGACTGACCATAGTAAAGCATTGAATAATACAGCATATTTCTTAAATAATACTTCAGTGATTGAATAAGTACGTATGTAACCTTTTTTTTTTATGTATTTTTTTTAAACTAATACTAAGTTATCTATGAAGACTAATCCGATCATCAGCAACGCGAATCACATGAATCAAAAATGACCAATAAGATTCGTTTTATTCTGGATGCACATTAAAATTTTTAGATTTGTTAATCGTTTTCAGCTCTTTAATGATTCTTTAGCTTTTTAATTTCCTCCTCAATTCGTGCATCTGATGCTTTCAGTTCTTTAATTTTCTTTTGAATATCCCGTCCTGATACTTCCAGCTCTTTAATAATCTCATTAATTCGTATAAGAGAAGGATGCTTTTCAGGAAGTAGAAGAACTTCATTGAGATTCTTTGAAATGTAAGGCTCTTTATAACCTGACCATCCATTTTTTATAATCTCCACTACATGCTCACGAAGCTTAATTGTGTGACATTCATAAAAACTTTTAATATAAAAGTATATAAGTAATAGGAATAGGTTTGTTTTTGCATATAGTTAACTAACTTACATAATAAATGGAAACCAATCCTCTTTTCTTCGTTGATGAGGTAACATATATAATAACTCTATTTCTTCTAATACCTATATAATTAATAAAAATTTAAAAATGTATACATATAAATACAAAATAAATTAGAAAATAATACCTCAGCTCTTAGAAGTAAATACGATTCTTTTGTGTTAGTTTTACTTATTTCATCACTTAGTAAACCGATAAACAAATTCATTAAGTAAATAGCTGCTCCGAAAGAAAATATTACTGTTAATACAAGTAAAGTAAGGTTATTTTCGAAATCCCAGCGGGAAATTGGCGTTGTATCTCCTATTAAAATGTATGTATTTTAAATGTAAGTATAAAAAAGTTGCTACTTATTGGACCAATGATGCATAGAATTTTTCAAAAAAGAATAACCTGTTAGCATAATATAAACAGCCGAAATTGCTGTACCCATCATCATAAACATATTTGTAGTCGCAGTAGGAGGTTCAATAAGCGAAGCATGGTTTTCAATTGTACCATTAGGATCTATAGCGTTATATTTTGTAGTCAAATTCCACGGATCATTCGGATCAGTAGAATAGCTTGGATAATTCAAAGATACATTAACGGCAGGGCGCAATAAAATGTGTAATGAATGTGCAAATGCAATTAAAATAGCTACTAATATTATCAAAAATAAAAACCCTCTTTGAGCTACTCCAATTATCACAGAGAAATATTGACCCAACAATTCAATTGCACGAAAAAATAAAATGAATTTGATCTCTAATAATAAAGTAGAAAAGGTAGCCATTTCTGTTGGCATGACATCATTTTGAAGCCATATAATTGATGATATTGTTGGCAGTAAAAATGCACCTAAATCTTAGTTCATGAGCAAAAAAAAAAAATTGTATATTAGTCGTAATTTAATCAAAATTAACATTATATATTAAATTTCATATTACCAAAAAAATTCCATACACTAGATACATAGGTTAATGGCGAGACAATAAATTGGCGTAATTCACAAAATGAGTGCAAAATCCCAAGACAAATAGTTATAGTTAAAAGAATAAATAGACTAGTCTGAGAAATACTTTCGGAATATGTTGCAGCAATTATAAAACAAGAAAGAAAAACTGTATAAACTGCCCAAGCTGCGAAATAATATTTTCTTCCATAAGTATTCCATTTAAATTTAAGTAGCGCTTCTCCATTTAAATATCTATAGAATTCCTCATTAATCATTTCAACCTTATTTGAATATGTAAAAGGATTGGGATTCGGTAACAATAATTCTTCCCAAAAACTGTAATCTTTTGAATAATAAACAAAGTTTGGCAGAGGAATTGCAAGTATTGTTGTACTATTACTTGCATAATAAAAATTAATAATTGGGTTTATAATAAATTTGATAATTGGTTTAATAATGGAATCTCGATAAAATGTATGTGTTTTTTGAAATTTTTGAAAACTAAATTGAAAACTTTTTTGAAAGCTATTCCAACTAATCCAAAAATAAGATGTTAATATATGAAGAAATGATGTTTTAGATAAATGATAGTACTTTCCATAGCTGGAAAGATGTGAAGAATTAGATTTTGGAATCACATTATTAGAAGGAACTACAAATCCTATCGAAGATAAAATACTTGCTATAAATGCAGGATGATGTTCTGATAATTCAACAAAATTGTCAAAAATAATACTCAACAAAGAAATTTTAGAAATCAAATGATTTTTATCTGGAATAAACTTAACAATACAACTATTGCCTAAATCTCGAATCCATTTATCATCATTTAATTCAATACAACTATTGCCTAAATTTCGAATCCATTTATCATCATCATTTAATTCAATAAATGTTTTCATGAGAATTTTTCCGTAGCATGTTAAATAAAATTCTTCATTGATATTATCATTTAAAAACATTTCGAAAAGCTGCATTTTCTTTTCTTTTCCAAATTGAATATTTAAATTTCTACAGATTGTTTCGTAACTTGAAACAGGAAGAATTCTTCCTGGAGTCCAGCTCTCAAAGGGATCTTTAAACTCTATATCTACATTTTCAAAATTTAAACGATCATTCCAATGATTCCAATAGTAATGCATCTTAATTTTAGAAGATTTATAAGTCCAAATAATTACACCAATGCGTGTAATCGTAACGAAATCATCATTTTCAAGAACTTCACAATGTAGTATAAATTTTTTTCCATTAGGATAAATTGATGGAAGAATATCCAGATCCTTTTTTTTCTTATCTGGGTTCCATTCTTTCTTGCGATGATTATAATCAATTACTGTAAGTCTAACTGATTCATTATCTACTTCTAATCCCCATTTTAATAATTCTCTTTCATATTCTTTTTCAAATGTTTGTCCATCAACGTTATAATTTGTTAATTTGTTATTTTTAATTTCATTTATAATATCAATGATCTTTTTGGACGGAGTTGTAATTCTATTATTGTCTTCCAGTTCTTTTCGTAAGTATCCAACCCAATTATCGACCCACTTTTTATCAGGCACTAATTCTTCAATTAAAACTTTTCCTTCAACAGTATAAATTATTTTATCTGATGTTCCATCCGATCGGATTATGTATGGTTTTTGAATTTGAACTTTATTTCTATTTAAAAGCTCACTCGCATCTATTGGATTTCCGGGGCTTCTGAGGTTGCCGAGCTCATAAGGGTCGTTTAAAAGATATTCATCGCCTGACCTACATAATATTCTTTCTCCTTTTCCAGAACCGATCAAGTAAAATTTATCTATTGCCATGTTTGTATTCGCTACAAATAGAAATCAGAATTTAATATGATGTAATATAGAAGAAATTTATGCTTATTTTATACATGGACTTACAGAATGACAGATTCATCCCAGTTTCGGTGGAAAAAACATATAAACGTGTTCCATTAGTTTTCTTATTTTTTGTACATACTAATAATAATTCTTCATCATCGCTAATTTTAATAGATTCAGGTGTTAATTCAGGTGTAAAATCCCAATCTATTAAAATACGAGTCCTAATTGATAATTTATCAATGTCCCACATCGTGATCTCATAAATTGTATCATTAAATATGATCAATTTGCCTTTAAGAGTAATATAAATTTTTTTAAAATATTTCAGCTCAATCATTGATTTACAAATCCAGGTCATATTATCTTTAGCCGAAAAAACATATGCTCTGTAATATTTAGTATTAACCATTACAATATTTCCGTTTTCAATAAAGAATAAGAAGTCAATTTCCTTTTGCCAATCTGGAAATTTTAATAATATCTCTTTTTCATTTTCAAAATCGAAAATTTCTAGAAAAATGTTCAAAATATAATTAAATTCATTGAAATAACAATAATATTAATTTTATGCATAACTTACTGAAATTATAGGGTTTTTCTCTATTAAAACCGATTGAAACATGTTTATTATCTGAAATTGCAAATATTCTCTCATCATTTTCTTTTGTGTAAATTTCGCCGATATAGATTGTTTTTTCATTCTCTAAATGTTTCCCTTGGTTATCAATAGACCAAAGACTAATATAGTTATCTTCGTGCAATGCAGCAACATGTTTCATGTTAGGCGAGCAGGCAATTTCCAAAATATTTTTATTTGCCTCCTCGACTGGAATTTTTACATGAGAATTATCTGATTTAGATGCCATTTCTAATTATATTTGATAGGGATAATGAAATTTTCAAATAATATTTATAATCGTAAGCAGAAGAAATTTCAATAAAAAACTTTTAATCGATTTTGAAAATTTTGGAGATTTAGACTAAGCCGAAATCTGCTAGTAAATATTTAAAAATATTTGTGGCAATGTAGTTTCTATACTTTATGATTAAAAATCCTTGTACCTGAACAATGACTCTGTTATGGGTCATTTTTAAATTCTCTATTACTATTCGACGCATGTCATTTTTCAATCTTCACTGTTTGAAAATGACTCAGGTCAGTTCTTAATGCTGATCATCTGAATCCGTAATATTAAAGAATTCATAGTTCAAAAAAACATTTCTAACACAAATCCTCATGAAAAACTTAAGAATGTTCAACTCATAATAGAACGCATTTTTTTAAGACAATTGCTGAAAATCATAATTAAGCTACTATCGAAACATTTATTATACTCAAGGTAAGGCCACTATTGAAAAAAATTTATTATACTCAGCAATTTTTTATGTTTTGAAACGTATGCATGTGGCTTAGTATTTAGCTTAAGATTAATTGCACTGTCTGTCTCCGTTTAACACTATTTGTGCCGGTAATACAACCCAAAAAAGGAAATTTAATTTTGTAAATAAACAAAATGCGTAAAGACACAACCTTAGGGTTAGGACTTGGGATTGGTCGACTAATAAATCTGTATAATAAACTACTATGTTTTGTCGTCTAATTAATCGACTAAACATAATAGTCAACTAAACCGATTCCAATCTCTAGTTAGGACTAGTGATGCTTGACGAAATTGATTTTATTAGTAGACGAAATTAAACCTGACGAAATGACGAAACTCTTGACGAAATTATTTTGATCTATAATTATTAGTGACGAAATTAATTTTGAATTAGAATATTATTCTAAGGAGTATACTGTCTAAGTTTATAGATAAATTTCTTGGTGTTTATAGGAAATTTTTGGCGCAATCGCAAAATGACGAAACTATTCGTCAATTCAAAAATAATTTCGCCAAGTATCTATAGTTAGGACATTATTAACATTAGAGGCTATAGTTATATATTGCCCATTATATTTTTAATTAGTGCACCAAGGTCGATTTCGACACTAGTTTTTGAGTATTTCAGTATTTTCACTTTTTTCTTCTTTCTCACGTGTTCGGAATTCATGTCGGGCCGGTCAGGAACAATCAAACTTTGAACTCATTGATTGGCTATTTCCTTTATAGGATTTTGTATTACCAGCACAAATAAGTAAAGCTTTCAACACCCACGCCATTAATCTATAGTAAGTCAAGGAACTAGAATCGCAGGCATTTTTGTGGCAGTTCTACCTCAAATACGTTACGGCAGTATTAATATCATCGCAACCGTTGTAGCATGATGTATATTTCATAGGTTGTAATATATGATGTAAGTCGTAATAGATGTTGGTAGTAATGCCGTAGGCTGTATTAAATGTCGTTAGATCGCAATACTTATATATAGCATATTGTAGAGTTGATTAAAATAAAATATCTTTACACTTTCTGACGAACTTTTATAATTAAGCACAGATTTTATAAGCTTCGCGAATGATCTTTGCTTCAAAAGAAGTTAGATAAAGTATATAGTTTAAATCATAACATAAATATAAATCACTTTGTATAATTGCCGCTTATTGTCAAGGTGTGACGATAACAGTAAGATCGGGTTCGTGTAACATGTGGGTCTTTGCTATGAATTTTTTCTAAAAATAGATTTACTATGTTTTTCTTAATAAAAGTCTTGTGTAACAATGCTTCGAGGGTAATTTTAATAGCAAAGATCCCATGTGTGTTGCATGAATGGCGTGATCCAGATTTAATTAAAGTTAAAATAGTGATTGCATGAACAATTTAGTAATCGATAGCAATTAGTAATAATATATAAGGCATCGATCCTAAAAGAAAAAAAAAAGAACTTTTGGCCTGTAATTTCTTTGAATCATTCTTAGTGAATAAACGATTAAGAAATACACTGTGTGCTTGTGTTGTCGCCTTGTGCCTAGTATTGGGTGGAGTACCTGGTACGATGCTCCAGTCATCGTATACCAGTTAAACAAGTGAAATTTATTAGAAAAGGTTATTGAATACACGGTAGCCAGTCATACTCCATCACACTTATTGAAATCGCCTAAGGGATAGGGATAGGGATGGGCCGCTGCGCAGGCATTTTTGAGAGACTGCGCAATGTAATTTTTATAACTCAGGCCAGCTGGCATAATTCTGGTCAGCTTTATAACGTAGGCTTGAATTACCAGTCGGAAAATCATTCCGGATTAACCCGCAATCACGTTTCACCTGATTAGTTCATAATTGTGGTCAAACTTACAGATCATTTGAGCACATTTAAAATTGGTTTGTTTTAGATCTGGCCAAATAATCCGCAAATTTGACCAGAATTATTAATGATTGGTTCCTCTTCCGAGAGATCCTTCATAAATTCGGATTATTTTTTAAAACTTTGAGCAAAGCTTTCACGGCAATCACTCAATCACTTTCAAGGAAAAATTGTTTGATTCAAATAAAAGAAGTTTCATTGAAATTTATCAGGTGGTTGTCGAGAAAGCTTCGCTTAAAGGTTTGAAAAAGGTTCGCCTAAATTTTTTAAACTTTGAACTAAGGTTTCCTTGATAATAACCTGATAAATTTTCCATGAAACTTTTTTTATCAGAATTCTACAAGATAGTAGAATTCGAATAAAAAAATTTTTTACCGAAATTTATCAGGTTGTTGTTGAGAAAACTTCGCTAAAGTTTTAAAAATAGTTAAAATTTATGTGAAGGAGCTAGTGAAAAAAAAAAGCAAAACTCGAAAACTGATAATGGGAATAACTTTATACATACGAAGTAGATGTTTTATATATATACGTAATTATGAACCCTAGACTCCTAGAGGGTGCAGGCTGTGCAGGCTGCGCAGCCTGCACAGTAAATTCAAAAAATCGTCGATTTTGCCCATCCCTAGGTAGGGATAAACTGAGTTTATTATTTTCAATGTTCTTTTTAATCCCAATATTGATTGAGCTGTGCCCTCCATAACAATTAAGGAACCATTAAATTATAATATTACACATCGATTTTTAAAAGCTTTTGATGTTTTGATAAATTCAATTTTTCATGACCTACGACATTATTTAATACTTACTACTTCTATTGCAACCTACGGCATATACCCGCTACTTCTGTTACAACCTACGACATATAACCGCAACTTATATTACGACTTACGTCAATACCACAAAAGTTGCAACTTTAGTAGTGAAAGTTGCAACTCTGTTACCTCAAAATAGTTGCACCTTTACGTGGGGAGAAATTTTTTGTGGACAAGCTAGCGTTAAATTAGGCGCTATATCAAATCAGTAACATATTTTTTAGATAAACTTTAGTAACCGATATCTTGTGATCTGGTGATTAAAATTGGAGGATTTCTGTATCATTTGATTCGTCTCAATGAAACAAATCAAATAGTGCTAAAATTGTTTGGTTCTGGTATCTTCCCCAGGTGCGCCAACAAAATTTCACGCTCACGTGACTACCGAAAAAAAAAACTTTTAATTTCGTTTATGTTAGGGTTAGCGTTTAAACTTATGTTAGAGAATAAGGGTAGCATAGTAAAATTACTCAAGGAATTTTTTTTGTTA